GCACACCACCTCAAATCCTATATAGGCTTCCTGCCGCATCTTATACCGTCCGATCCGCTACACTGGTACCGTTTTCATCAGAGGGCTTGAAAAACAGACTTTTACATCCGCTGGCTCCGCAAGTCATTGTATGGCCATAATGTATTCGGTAAGACCGCGATTCTGGATGCGAGCGGAATGCGCGCCGCACCCGAATAGGATTGATCTGCAGCAAGAGCTTTATCCTCCCTTCACCTGTGAGGATTCCTTGACCCTTATGCCATTGCCTATGAGGTACCTACGGTAGTTTCTTCAGGGTTCAGTCCACTCTGATCGGATGGGCGCAGACAGAGAGCTATTTCGTTCTCCCATACGGTTGACTGTGCAGCTTCGTTCACTAGATGCTCTTGGGGGCCTTTTACTTGAACAAAATGAATGCTTCTCAATATTTCAAAATTGGAAATCCCTTACTTTTCACCTGTTCAGGTGCTTCGACTGTCGGCGGCGCCTTCACTGAAGAAATCATTCGCGAAATGGCTAAAATCAATAAGCGGCCAATAATTTTCGCCTTGTCGAATCCAACCGACAAAGCGGAATGCACCGCCGGAGGACGCCTATCGTCTGACCGAAGTTAGCGTTTTCAGAGAACCAGTTTTACATTTTTTTGATTGTCTTTCGAAAACTTGCTCAAAAATAATATAGTATGTCTACATGGATCTTCTCTCGACAGTGGCCCAAAAAGGTCATAGAACCTCCTAGTGCAGTAACTGAGGGCATGCGCGATGCTGATCGCATAAATACAGCCAAGCTTGTGCCTTCCCTTTTGTCTTACCAGCTGTCGAAAAGCGGCCTGGAGTGATTTAGAGCCCGCCCATACGACTAATGTGTACTGATGAAATCAAAATATTGCGGTGATTACGTTACGAAGTTCAGGGACAAGTGTTATTCGCTTCTGGCTCACCGTTTGACGACGTCGAATACAACGGGAAGATATTCAAACCCGGTCAAGGAAACAATTCTTATATCTTCCCTGGAGTCGCTCTTGGCGCCATACTCTTCAAAGCAAAGCACATTCCTGACATGGCATTCTTACTTGCAGCAAGGGTAAGATATTATATTTTCAGTCACACTCTGCGCTTTCATTCTCATCAAACGTATAAACGATAGCGAATTGGTTCACCTCTTCTAAAAGTAATCGGTGAGCTCATTAGGAGGCCAGGGAGGCCAGACTACAGTTTCAGCGCCAACAGAGAAGGGCCTGTCAAACGAGGTTGAACAGTACCTCTCACTGACGCTGGAAACGTTGCCAAAATACCATTGCCTTCAAAAGCACGTTCCTTTCGGATAGTTGACCCATAACCCCATGTGAGAGCAGTCCCGTTTGGTGGAAGCACCGGAGGGTATTCAGCAAGCTTCAGACAACTTTTTCGAGATGTGAACCCCTGTGATCAATAAAGCTCGCTCGAGTAGTTCCGCAGCTCCACATTAATTGACAGGCCTGACCAACGCGAAAGAGCACAAATGCTCCTCCAAGTCAAACGGCGCCATCTTCCCGGCTCCCTTCCGAAACGTCATTCCAAACGACGGATCACTCCTCTCAAACATTGTTACGATAAGACATTTCCTCCTATATCGGTTAACGAAGTACTACCTTTGAACTGTGCTATAGCTATGAGATCTCGATTTTTTTTCCAAAGGGCGTCTGGCGCAGTTCGGCGACGGGGGGGGGGGTCATTTCTCACTTTTGCTACTTCCCATCGACGTGTCGACCTATCTAGAGCAGCCTCTTCTCGAGTTGACAGGTTGTTTCACCAGAGTGAGACTTGTAAACCGGAACTAGTGAAGCAACGAAAGTAAAAGTGTCCCCCCCGTCGTCGAACTGCGTGCGCCCTGGCGCCTTCCCCAATCAGAGAATTGAGAGGGGTTTTGTCGAAAGATGCATGGTTTCCGAAAAAAGTTTATTCCTATGGAGACCTCTCCAGTTTATTAATCTTTGATTCTTAACCGAGCGTTGCTATTGTTCGATATTCCAGCGCTGTGCAGAGTCGGTCACAGTGAAGTCACTGGAGAAATATTCGCGGTTGTATCCACGTCTGAAGGACATCCGCGAGCTGTCAGTTCATATCGCTGTCGATGTGAGTTTCACCTTCGTTTTTATACATACAGTGCTTATCGGGTCGGTGTATACGCACATACGTTTGGCGCAGCACCAGCCCACTTCCATCAGCTGTCTGCCCCAGTGTGTAACGACTGATGGAAAGCTGCTGGGACAAGACCGCTC